TGTGAAGTTTTTAATCGAGGTTCACCGTGGCAACCCTATGGCAAAAGAGACAGACGTAACAATTTTCAGATTTAGGTAATAAGTAATTTCGTGTAAATAAACAAATGCAAACATATGGTATAAAGTACGATGTAAATAAACATAGTAAAACATACGGTATGAAAAAAGCATAAAACGTTCTCTCCACCAAAGCAATAATCATAAAAAGTAATGACGCATGCATGTGAAGAGAGAAAAGAACAATCGGCATCCACAAGCAACCAGCGCTGTGGCTGCACTCACGCAACCGCAATTGTCAGGAGAAACTCTACGAGCTACGCCCTACCTCGCCGACACGATACGGTGGAGGTAAAGAAAGAATTTAAAGTGCTTACGCAATATATTAAAATGCTGAGTCCGCTTCGCCGGATGCGAAGCGGGTCGATGAACGCTATATGTGATACTGCGTGTTTACATGTTACATTGTATTCTGGAATGAAAGTTAGTCCAATAAAGCTTGGTGGTTGAGTAACACAAACCTCCTGGTTTTATTTCATCAAACGACGAGTTCGATCGCGATCCGAATCGACGAATCGAGTTCGGGATTAGACGGCGAGCGACTTCCGCCGTATCTTATTTTTCAGCATCCTGGTTCGTAGGTAGAGTCCACGAAACCATTATATGGTGCATGAGCATCCGAGAAGAACGATAAAAGTTCCCGGTGCCGTGTGAAAATTTATTCAAGTAAATCCGCGTGGCAACCGAAAGGTTAGTGCGAGCATTCGAACGACTGAGCAAACGAAGTGAAAAAAGTCGAAACATGGAGGGAATATCCGAAAAGGATATCCTCCATGAGATACCAGTGACGGAGCTCATCAAGATCGACGCAACGATAGCGCCGGTCGAGAGACTGAAATCATTGACGAAAACCCTAAATGAGAATAACCCAGATTACACAAACAAAAATTGGCTTACGACAAGAAGCCAAGTGAGAAAGAACATTACCGCAGCAAAGGTCAGGCTGCAACAGATGTTAGATTTAGGATCAGAAGAACTGAATCTATACACGGAAAAACTAAAAGAAGTGTACTCGAGAGCAGCACGAGAAATTTGGAAAGAAACGGCATACACATGTGTGATCCGGAGAAAATTGCAAGATGCCGATGCGGTAGCGGAAGATGAGAAGAACCGAAGAGCGGTCTACACAAAACAGGAGAATGTTTTGGTGGACGTGCAAAGGTTTCTAGAAGCGACAAAGAACCGCATACCGATTCTATACAAAGATTTTGATCTCAAGGAAACGGAGAAAGAAAAAGATGCCAGAACCAGAGACAGGATGGAGGAAGAACTGGTAACTATGAGAGCAAAAGTTGATGAATTAAACCGGACCCTTGGAACCGTCGCAGCACAAAGCACTCCGTTGAGACAGAATCCAACCCCGAACCGTACTGAGGAACACGGGGGAACGAGAAGAAAGCAAAAACAAAGGGTAGCGGAATCCGATAGTGACTCGGAGGGAGAAAGAAGAGCGAACAGGAATCCGCAACCAGCAGAATCATCAATGTCGATGGCCACGTTGGTCCAGGCGCTGGCTGGAGAAAACGCAAACATGGCAGCTAGAGAAAAGCTACCCGTGTTTGACGGAACCGTAGCCAATTGGGACTCGTTTTGGCAACAGTTCACGGCACTGGTCGACAACAATCCCACCATCCCGACTATCATAAAATTCAATCGACTCTCACTATCATTAAAGGGACCACCGCTAAGGGCTTTGCAAAAGTTCCGCTTCGAAGAATCGTCGTACGAACTTGTAAAGAAGGCATTGGTCACAAGGTTTGGAAAGCCAAGAAAAGTGGTGATCGAAATGGCACGTCAAGTGAAGGACCACCCCCAGGTAAGCGAACAAGATCTGGGGCAATTACAAGGATTTGTGGACTTGGCCGGCCAAATGTTCTACCTCATGCGGGACTACGAGCCGCAATCGGTAAAGTATTCGATGACGAGTACGATGATGATCGAGGACAAGCTATCGCAAAGATGCTTGTTGGAATGGGACACTTGGTGCGACAGGTACGAGGATCGGAGCGGAGAACCGGTTCCCGAGAAGAAACGATTCGAACTCTTGATAGAGTTCCTCGGAAAGTATGTGGAAAGGTTCCGCGACACGTTGACAACAAACCCGAGTATTGTCAAACAACAAAAGAGTCGGACCGAAGCGAACAAATCGGGGGAGAATCGGGAGAATCGAGAGAATGGGGGAGGGAAACCAAAAACCTCCTTGGAAAATTTTCTGACAGTCCCAGAAGCAGCCGAACAAGCCAGGAAACGTGAAGAGCCGACAAAATATAAACCAAAGTGTATATTCTGTGCGGCTGAGCATTCCAGTACACGGTGCAAGGAGAAACCAACACCGGAAAAGGCATGCGCCATCGCGAGGAAAGCGGGGGTGTGCATGAACTGCCTAAGGGACAACCACAAGACCAAGGAATGTAGGAGCGAGAAGTGTGGAGTGGATAAATGCACGTTTCCGCACCACAAAAGCCTACATATCAAGAATTACAAAAAGAAACCCAAAAAGGCGAAGCCAGAGGAAAGGGTGGATAAACCGCAATGACAGGCTACGGGTCTCTCTCAGTCGGATATGGTGTGCCAGATCGGAGAGCCCGAATTACATGATCAAGTCGAAGAAATTGTACAGTGTTATATGAGTAACCCGATTGAAACGGGAGGGCGAATACTACCCGTTATTTGTTACAGGCCACATGCAAAATCAAAACCAATTCGGATACTAATGGATTCTGCTTCCTCTCACTCGTTTATTACGGTAAGCGCAAGTTCATACCTTCATTGCCCAATTGTAGAGAGAGAGATTGAATTAGCTATTAAGTCATTAAAAACTACGAGAGAGTGTACGGCGGACAAAGTCAGTATCACGCTAGATGCCCGCAATAGGGTAATTAAATTTAATGCTTTTACGACTCCGCACATTCTCTCTCTGGAAAGTTTAGATTTGCCGACGCATATAAAACAACAGTATAAATTGAACGAGAAATTTCCGCGACCGCCGTGCGACGTTGATATCCTGGTAGGAATAGGCGAGTACTGGCGAATGATTCAGCAAGTAGCGATCCGCGTTTCAGATACGTTCGTTTTACTAAAGACCCCATGGGGACATATACCCTGTGGGACAGACTGGACTAGGGACAGTCGGGAAACAGAAGAACCGACATGCCTAATTACCAGTACTGAAAGAATAGCGAAGGCATTAGAACAACAATGGAAACTAGAAGAATTTCCATTCGACAATTCATCGAAGGAACTCACGAGAGATGAGATGAGGGCGGTAGAATTGATCGAAAATGTATTAAAGTTAAATGAAAAAACATCAAGATTTCAGACCGGATTACTCTGGAGAGAGGATCCGGAATTAAAGAACAATTACCATGGAGTCAAGTCACGGCTTGATCAAAGGGTGAAACAGCTAGAACGAAATCCAGAACTTGGTAGAGCTTATAAAAAATCAATGCAAGAGTTTTTCGATTCAGGGGTAGTGGAAAAGGTGAGTGATAGGCAGCCGGACAAAACAAAGGATGTTTATTATCTTCCACATAGAGCAGTTTATGATATGACCCGCGTCACGACGAAGTGTCGGATCGTGTTCGACGCATCCGCCAAGACGGCGACGGGAAAATCGCTTAATAACTGTCTATATCCCGGTCCCCCGTTGCAGTTAAACATTGTAGCGATAGAGCTCAGGTTTCGGCTGAGAAAGTACGCTTTGGTGGGAGATATCAGCAAAATGTTTCTCAACATTGACGTACGCGAAGAAGATCGTGATTTTCTGCGTTTCCTTTGGCCCAGTAATAAGGGTGATGGCAACCCCCCCGATATCTTTAGATTTACGACTCTCATCTTCGGAGCAACAGACTCTCCATTCCAAGCGCTAACGTGTTTACAAAAAATAGTACAAAGGAAGGTGGAGTCCAACACCTGCACGAAGCTGGAAAAGAAGGTGTGCGAGATCATAAAGAACAACACGTACGTGGATGACGTGACTACGGGGGGAGCCACGAGAGAAGAAACAAAGGAGTTGTACCACGGAATAAAGAAGGTATTACAAGCAGGCCACTTCTTCGTAAGAAAATGGGCGACCAACGACCCCACTATTCTAAGGAGTATACCGGAGGAGGAAAGAGCTCCAACCGAAGCGCTTTACTCGCGCTCTCCAACAGAAGAAGAAATCAGCGCCGAAACTTCCACACTGGGAGTGCGATGGCATCCAGGCAAAGATGTTATCGTTTTCAACCAACATGGGCGCTTGAAAGAAGAAAACAAAAACACGAAGACGAGCGTCGCAAGTCTGTTAGCCAAACTCTATGATCCATTGGGTCTAATTTCCCCATTTGTACTAATCGCGAGAAAGATAATGAAGACAACATTTCAAGAGAAATTGGGCTGGAAAGACAAATTGGAGGGAAAGATGCTATCCGATTGGGAAGCTTGGGTCGAACAAATTCAATGTCTAGAGGAGCTCGAGTTTCCCCGATTTGTGGAAAATTCCCCAAGTTCGGAATACCACATATTTGGGGATGCGAGCCAAAAGACGGGATTTGGAGCAGTGGTGTTCGTAAGAACGCCGGACACGAAGAAGAGGACATATACTTCAAAACTGCTAATGGCCCGATCAAAAATAGCTCCCATGAAGGAAATAAGCGTCCCCAATCTGGAGCTGAAAGCGGCATTGTTAGTAAGCGAGTTGGCGACTTTCTTGATGACGGAACTCACCATCACGAAGGAACAAATTCATTGCTGGTCGGACAGCGAGGTCACACTATGGTGGTTAACGAAAAATCCCAACCACCTGACACCATTCGTCGGCAATAGAGTTGAAAAGATACAAAATGTGAAATTACCCTTTCAATACATCTCTACTAAGGAAAACCCGGCCGACATTGCGAGTCGGGGGTGTAACGTAGAAGGGTTAAAAGCGGAATTGTGGTTAAAGGGTCCGAAGTTCCTTACGCTCCCTAGGGAGAAATGGGAACTTCCGAAGGTAGATTTCAGCAAGATCGATCCGAAGGAAGGAGTACGAAAACAGAATATCTTCACCTATGTCTCGTTGACCCGACCGCTAAAAGGAGGTACGGATAAACGAGTCGACCTGGACCACTATTTCTCATCATATGACCAATTAATGAGACACACCGCGACGCTATATATGTGCGTGGAAAAATGGAGAAGCAGTAAAGACGACCGACGGCGCATGCAGGAAAACCCGACCCGAGCGCATTACGCGAGGGCATTGAATTATTGGATAAAAGCCGCGCAAGAAAAGTACTACGGGAAGGAAATAAACCTGCTGCAAACCAAACAAACCATAAAAGGAGGTAAAAGATTAGGCAGTCTTAACCCCTTTTTGGATAAGGAAGGGATCCTGAGAGTGGGAGGCCGACTTCAACAATCAGCTCTCCCATACTCCCAAAAACATCCCATCATACTTCCCAAGCAACATCAGTTAAGCAAAATGCTCACGGAAAGAGCCCACGTGAACAATCAACATGCCGGCATCGATTGGATACATTTCCATTTGCGGCAGCAATATTGGATAGAAGCCGGAAGACAATTGGCAAGATCGGCGATCCATCGATGTCATGCATGCAACAAACAGAACGTGAGGCGAGCCACTCAGATCATGGCTAATTTACCGGAGGGAAGAGTGAACCAAGAACCACCGTTCACGCACGTCGGCGTTGACTATACTGCGGCAATTCAATTAAGAAAAGATCTCAAGGCAAGGCGCGAAACGACCATCCCGGGGTATATAGTCATCTTCACGTGTCTTACGACACGAGCCATACATGTGGAAGTGGTACTGTCGAACCATACAGAACAATTCCTAATGGCTTTCAAGAGGATGATCAACACAAGGGGCATGCCCAAGTGTATGTACTCCGACAACGCCAAAACCTTTAAGAGAGCAGAAAAAGAGATAAAAGAAACATTGGAGCATGCGAACAAATCCATGACAATTCTCACGGAAAAGTATGAATTTGATTGGAGATATTCGACGGAACTGGCACCGCACACCGGAGGTATATGGGAACGGATGGTGAAGGCGGTAAAGTCACCACTAATGAAAGTAGTGAAAAACGCATTGCTAACATACATAGAAATGACCACAATTTGCAAGGAAATCGAGGGTCAGGTAAACGACCGACCATTACACGAGGAATCGACGGAGTCATTCGGCGTAATAACACCTTCCTTGTTAGTATTAGGAAGGAAAATACGCCCATGGCCAGACCGGTTTGACAAGACTGAATTGCAACAACCCAACGATTTACGAGAGAGATGGAAACATCGTAAAGCAGTAGTAAATCAGTTCTGGCGAGCTTGGTCGAGTCGATATCTTCTACAACAACAACAAAGAAGCAAGTGGCAAGAAAAGAAGCCAGATGTCAAACAAGGAGATCTGGTGTTGCTCGAGAAAGAAAAGATGAAACGTAATCAGTGGCCGGTGGCGAGAGTAGCAGAAGTGAAAATGGGAAGAGATAATAAAATCCGATCCGTCATTTTAGCACTCCCCCCGCGAGATACGGAAGGCAGAATCAAAAGAGGAACGCCATTACTCATCACTCGAAGCATACACAATATTTTCCCCCTGGAAGCAACAAGGGAGGGGGAAATTCCGGAGTTAGAAGAAACACTATAAATACAGCCAGGACTTGAAATCTAGTTCATTCGACTTCATTAGCTCGAAACGTCAACGAAGAAAAGATGATGAACAAGAGGTACGCTTTGGCAGCGATGGTCCTGGCGGTGTTTGTAGGAGTTGTACTATACTCCGAAGAGTCGGAAGCCAATCCGGCCAAGATCCTGATCAAAGGAGCGCAAAAGCTCCTACCGAAACTGGCAGGCAAGACAATGCGCATCGCGGCGGTCTTTGGAAGGGCAGGAATTTTTCGAATCCCGAAAGTACACCGGGCTTTTGCCTATTTGCGAAGAAGCCATCCCAAGGTGGCTAGGTACCTCAAGATCGCCACGGGCATAGCGGGAGGAGCAGGTTCAGCGGCCGGGACCCAGGCACTCATCGAGTACCTGGAGAGCGATGAATTGTTCCAAGATGTGGAGCAGATCCGCATCCTGACGGAGACCCTCGAGCAGCAAGGGGAGATGACCCAGCAGGACGTCAACGACCTCGAAGGGTTGTTGTATGGGCTGTCCTATGCTCTGGACGCTCAGAAGGAGACCCGTGCCGCCGCCTCGATCTGGGACATCCCAGAAAAAGCGGAGAGGGACGTCGCCGAACCGCCCCAGGGCGGATGGGAAACCCTCGCCCGCTTTGCAAGAATCTTGAGGAAGGATCCGGTAGCCACGACAATCCTGATCTTCACCGTAATCTCCGCCATCACCACCTTCTGCTGCATTCGATTGCTGATCAACGAAGCAGCAAGGAGGTGCCGTCTTGCAAAGGGAAGGACGGAGAGGAGAAGGGCAAGAAACCGTCTCGGAAGACGCAGGAAGTCTGGCTCAAGCTCCGGAAGAAGCCACAACTCTCCGCCGAACGGCGAAGAGGAGGGAGAAAGCCAGATCAGGCAGGAACCGCCAATAGAACTAGAAGATATGTTACCTTCCGCCGCACCCGATACCGGGGCCACGGAGTAGGGTGAAAGGGAATTTGGAAGAACGGAAAAATATTGTACCCCAGAAGAAAGAACCTAAGGAGGGAATTAATTTGTATCCAAATGATTTAGGTGGGGATGATTAATACGGTAAAACGGTACGTTCCGTCAGTTTCGCGTAGTTATTAAGGTCCGTATTCCATTTTCAAAATTATTTGCATGAGAACAAAGCGAAAATAAAGTACAAGGTGCACCATAGGTTGATATCCATTGTCTCGAGCGCGAATTCCATTGCATGTCTCTCTCTCTCTATATTGTTGGGCAATCAAAATTTATCTTAGTGGAGCACGGTATTAAACCATTTATAGAAGCGTAGGCGCATAAAGTGCGCACGCAAAAAGGCATCAGGCACTACGGTGCATGCCTTAGGAGGGGCGAAAGTACGCAGGGTGCGCACGCTCTATCCGAGCCTTGAACTCCAAGAGTTCAAGGTCGTCCACGCAGACTTACGGTGGGGGACAATAGATCTACCCAGCCTAAGCGGCAAAGACGTAAAAGCGTCCAATAGAGGGCAAGAAAGGGAATAGCGCTATTCGACCGCCAGAGTTGCGGGCAAGGGCAGGTTGCCATCACGCCGGAGGGCCGGGTGGTGCTTGTACCAAATTTCACATAAAAGTCCGGCAAAATCCATACCAAAGGGTGTGGTATCGAAGCTACGGCTCGATTCAGATGGCAGAGCGAGAACAAAAGGTGCAAAATTTATATAAAAGGTAGTTGGCGAACCGCGAGTAAGCAAAAGGTTCGCAACGCCTTCACAATGAACATCGCCATTTACGTGTTCGTGGTATTGGCCGTCAAGAATGGCAGGTCCGAGCCAAATACGGTTTTATTCACAAAGATGGGAAAGACAGCGGTCCAAACCTCGTTTGGACACATGGTAGTGGAACTGCCGATTAACGATGTTTACGAGGCTTTCGAAGACTTGTCCGACCTTACCAACGCCGTTGTGAAAAAGGCACATGGACAGAAAACGGAACAAATCCGGTTAGAGCTGTATCAAATGAAGAGGTTGTTGAGCAAGGTGCAGTTAGTCTGGTCGCTCGCAAGTCAGAAGACCAGAGAGTACACCCCTTTCGAATTGGATCACAGCAACGTGTTTAACGACACACTGTGGTCCATGGACAGCCGGTCCGACGCGGCGGCGAGAGGTAAAAGAAACGCCATAGTCAACAAGATCGCCGCGACGACGGGAATACTTAATCTGGCAGCTTTTGGATTGTCTTTGTACAACCGCAATCAGTTGGGCAAAATATTTAAAGCTGTAAAAGAAAACAAACACAGTCAATATTTAGTAGCAGAACAAGTAGATACTAATCAATTAAGAATTTTCAACGCAACTGTACATATAGATAACGTAGAAAGGGCAATGCGTGAAAGAATTCAAATATTAGCAGACGTCACGGCAGAAGGAGTAGCAAAAACACTTCTACAAGATGTCCGTATCCTTCAAACAAATTTTAAAACAGAATTAACTGATTTTATCAATGCATTAGTGGCACTGACGGATCACAGATTCTCCCCTATGTTGGTGGACCCAGAAAAACTAGAGATTAACTATCAAAAGTTACTGAGAAAAGCAAGAGATCATGATCTCAAGCCGCTGACGGAAGACGCGGGTTTATTGTTCCAATCAGTCACAAACGTCATAACATCAACAGAGGGGAGACTCTACGCAGTTGTACACATTCCCCTATATAAGGGAGATTTAATGACATTATACCGCTACGTCCCCGCACCTTTCTTTATACACGGTAACATAGCAGTAAAAATAGCAGCAGATTATCAATATATTGCATTAAACCCAGCGGGGACGATGGCGAAGCAATTAACAGCAGCAGACTTACAAAACTGTAAAGAAATAAATCACATTTATCACTGTCCTAGAGAAAATGTAATAAATAAAAACTTGAAAGACTTATGTTTATACAATTTATACCACCAGAATGTGGATAAAATAGAAGACACATGTACAGTCCAAGTTTTCAATTTAAAGTCCCACGCGGTCCAGCTGTCAGGTAACGAGTTTAGAATCCTGTCGACGGAACCGGTACAATTAGTCCAAGATTGCGGGCCGTACCAGGACCCAACAGTTACCACCATCCAAGGGGTCCACATTCTGAAGTTAACAACAGAATGTCCAACAGCTAACACACCTACGCACTTGTTCACCACAAACCCTCAGGTCGTGGAGTACCAAGATATACTATCTCTACCGTTGATAACAAAAGCAGATTCCTGGCTAAAAGAAACAATAAATGAAGAAAAGGCCTCGAAATTAAATGAAATCATAGAAAACTGGAAGACAACAAGCATCCAACCAATCCCGATCCACGCATTGAGATCGCAACTAAAAAATTACGAATGGAACAAGATGATAAACGTCATAACACATGTACAGTACGGTATCACTATGTTCTGCACTCTCGCTCTAGCCTATGTAGGGGTACAGCACTTCTGCAAATTAAGCAACAATTATTGTATGCGACACATTAAAACGCCAAAGTGGTGTTCGGGTATAAAACGTACGCGTCCCGGTCCAACTGCTCCATTAAGACAAATTGAAGGTACTGATATGATTTCCGGTGAAGAGTTAAAATTATTCCAAGAATCGTAGATGAGGAAGTATGAATAAATTGGTGTCCATTTTCTTTATTTTATTGTTTGTACATTTCATTTTACCGCGTTTTGTGCATGGCTCCTTCCGAAGCTGTCTAGTTTGGTTAACTTTAACTGGCACTTAGAGGAAAAGGAGAGCCTGATCAACTCGCCTTGACCAACTTTTACCGCAGCTCTGGAAGGAATCATGGGTTTTAAATTTAAACGTCTATCTCTTGGGGGAGTGTGAAGTTTTTAATCGAGGTTCACCGTGGCAACCCTATGGCAAAAGAGACAGACGTAACAATTTTCAGATTTAGGTAATAAGTAATTTCGTGTAAATAAACAAATGCAAACATACGGTATAAAGTACGATGTAAATAAACATAGTAAAACATACGGTATGAAAAAAGCATAAAACGTTCTCTCCACCAAAGCAATAATCATAAAAAGTAACGACGCATGCATGTGAAGAGAGAAAAGAACAATCGGCATCCACAAGCAACCAGCGCTGTGGCTGCACTCACGCAACCGCAATTGTCAGGAGAAACTCTACGAGCTACGCCCTACCTCGCCGACACGATACGGTGGAGGTAAAGAAAGAATTTAAAGTGCTTACGCAATATATTAAAATGCTGAGTCCGCTTCGCCGGATGCGAAGCGGGTCGATGAACGCTATATGTGATACTGCGTGTTTACATGTTACATTGTATTCTGGAATGAAAGTTAGTCCAATAAAGCTTGGTGGTTGAGTAACACAAACCTCCTGGTTTTATTTCCTCAAACGACGAGTTCGATCGCGATCCGAATCGACGAATCGAGTTCGGGATTAGACGGCGAGCGACTTCCGCCGTATCTTATTTTTCAGCATCCTGGTTCGTAGGTAGAGTCCACGAAACCATTATATGGTGCA